GGCTTCACTCAATTATTACGAGGCGAAGCCCAAAAATGGTACAGAAACGCAGCGAACAAAGTATGCTCGTGGCCGAACCTCCAGGAACAGCTACGAAAATTCTTCGTACCAGCCGGGGAAAAGAGGCTATTGGACCAGCAAATCGCCGGTCGCAAACAAGGTCCGGACGAGCCACTGAGGCTCTTCATTAACGAAATAACCACGTTAATGCGCCGCAGAGGAGAACACATCGAGGCAGAGCTCCTAGACGTGATCTACTTCAATATGAAGCCGTCGTTTCAGCTCTACATCAACCGAGCTGAAATTAAAGAAGTCAGCGACCTGATCACCAGAGCAGAAACTGTGGCCGAGCTCATGGCCGCAGAACAAGCCAGCAAAACAAAAGGCGAGGAGCAACGTGCTGCCAGGACGATCGCTTGAATCTAGCTGGCACAGTTTTTTCATTTAAGTATCGTGTGGCCTTAGCGGCTTCCTTAAACAGCTCATCATGTGCATCCTCCGCACCTATATCCATTAGAAATTGCGACAGTTTGGAAGTTTGGAATGATGCTGCAAAATTGTTTATACATAAACTTCTTTATATAATTACATTCACACTCGCCAAATTTATCTAGTATGTATATATGTATTGTCATGATATTACGATATTATTGTGATATTACCTGTAATGCTTTCATTCGCTGTAAATTCATTCGCAGACGATCTTTCTATTTCTCTTTCTTCGTTATTACAAAACAAGGATATTTTATTTAATAAAATATCGAATGTCATTCTTTTCTGTATATCATTTAACAGACGATTTTTTACACGTGCATCAATGAGCATTGCAAGAATAATAGGCTCACAAGTATAAGTAAACTCGAACCTTTGTTTAAAAATTGTCGTTATATTTGTAACGAAATCTTGAAATAACTCATTAGAATGCTCTGTCGAAATGGATTGCATTGTTTTTTCTATGCCAATTATAATCGGCAAATACAATGGAAAAGTTGGATATTTTTCGACACTCATTATTTCGGTAGCTTCTTTAAATAGTTCCAATACTTCGACATAGTACTTTAATATCTCCCACTCTCGACTTGTTGAATTATCAGGCATTCCTTGTTCAGAAAGAATAATACTTAAAGGAAGCCTAAGTTCCATTAAATGTTTCAGCATAATATGTTGTGAATTCCAGCGGGTGTCTACATCTCCAATAAGCTGAAGTGGAACTTTATCTGGGTAATGCATCTCCTGTGCTTTCACAAGTTTTACCCGTGCGGTAGTAGATCGATGAAAAAAAGAAACGATACCTCTTAATTTTTTACACAATTCCTCAAGAATCGTAGTGTTTTTCACTACATCTTTAATAACCAGCTGAAAATGTTTGATAATTAGTACCTTGATTTTCTCGAGTTAATGGGATACGAACCCATTGCTCGGTAAGTCTTATAGCTTTTACCATATTCGCAGCATTATCCGTGATAAAGTAACAACTAATTTTATTTGAATCAATGCCCCATTCGTTCAAGGACTCTGTGAGTAATTGATTTAAATTTTGGCTTGTATGAGATTCCGTGAAATGGTGAATGCCGAGCGTATGTTTTTTCAGCACTTCAAAATTCTTATCGCAATAGTGAATTATTAATGAAATATATCCATCTATTGCACGGGAAGTCCATCCATTCGTTGAAAATGATACGATCTTCACATCGTCCTAAATAAATAAATAAGCAAATAAGCACATACGTATAAATATATATTTAGTGAACTAGAATAAATGTGATTTTATTAACAAAAAAATTAAAAAATTTAAGCCACTTCACTTGAAAGCAACATAAAAAGATAATTAAATGTAAAATGATAAAATCATACCCATTTTAAGTCGTTTAAAATGCTTCCCTTTATATTCTGTTTTCCCTTTAGGTACATTTGCGGTACGATATTTCGAGAGAACGTTGTTCGGGATGGTATCTCGTTCAGCAATTTTTACAAAATTTTTAAAGCCTTCATCGTCGACAATGCTGTATGGTTGAAAATCCAATATTATCATTTTTGCAATAGCATTTGTTAATGATTGCGCTCTCCGCGAATTTTTATCTAATATGGCTTTCGCAAAACTATTTTCTTCAGTCATTTCTCTTGGTGTCGTTTCCGGAGATGTATACTCGGATTCAAATACGTCTAGGTGTTTCTGTTTTATATGTCTCATAAGAGACGTACTACTCCCACATTTCGTTTTAAATGTACTATCACAGATTAAACAAATACTTCATGTTTGATCAATTTTCTTAAAATATTTCCATACATTACTTCCGTTACGGCGAACGCGTTTAAAATTGGTAATACTGTGACGGGTTACCGCCGGGGGTTTGCCGGCTCAGTCGGTAAGTCCGGGGTTCAGGCGAATGAATGAATAAAAGTCGGTGGTTAGTGGGTAAAATAATAATTATATTTCGTTAACTAAAGTACAAACTAACTTAAGACCACGGCCCTGGGGTTCTATCAATTTAAATGGCTTAACGGCTACGGCGACGCGGTACTTATATCTACGGTTCCTTATGTCTATGGTTACGGCGCGGTACTTAAAGCTAACGGTAATGTTATCGGCGGTCGCGAGACGGTTACGGCGCGGCACGGTTACGGCGCGGCACGGTTACTGCGCGGTTTCTACGGTTCGGAGCGGCGGAGGTAGCGGGATGTGCAGGGTAAGGTGTTCGATGCCTTCATGGGTGGACGGCCGTAGACGCAACCCGTCCTGCACCCAGGCAGTGAGAAGACCGTGATCCGCTGGAAGCCGTAGAGACGTATACGCTCGGTCCGGCGGTCGGGAAGCCGCCGAGAGAGAACTCTCTCGGCCGTGGCCAAAGACAGCGGACTGTATCGGAGGACGGCCGTAGACACAATCCGTCCTGCTGAACGCTGCTGGAGGAGTGTTTGGTTTTCCAAAAATGAAGCTGATCGTATCTCGTTGTCGCTCGTCGCGAGACTCGCTTCGGAGGATAGATCTGCTTTCTATCGCCCCGCGGCCCGGTACATCAATGCCCGCGCGGCCGGCTGCCCCGCCAGTTCGCGGTGCGTGCGGTCACCACCTAACGGTGGCGCCGGTACTAGCTCGCGCTGGCGGAGCCCGTGGTTTCGCGGCCTCGTATTCCTTACAATACTTTCATTAACAATATCACCTTCCACTTCATAAATTTCTTCATTTTCAATCACGATGTCGTTATCACTTGTCATTATGGAACGTTTTCTAATACTGTTACTGAGCAGCAGCATAGCTTTCGAACATTCGCGAATAAAAAAAAAACACTGCTCATTAATTATTATTTATTGTTTCGGAGCATGGTCTCGTTTGCTTTGGCCCGCTCGCATCTCGCCACGAGGAGCGAGTGAGAAAGATTGGCATAGAAAAAACAATGCAATCCATTTCGACAGAGCATTCTAATGAGTTATTTCAAGATTTCGTTACAAATATAACGACAATTTTTAAACAAAGGTTCGAGTTTACTTATACTTGTGAGCCTATTATTCTTGCAATGCTCATTGATGCACGTGTAAAAAATCGTCTGTTAAATGATATACAGAAAAGAATGACATTCGATATTTTATTAAATAAAATATCCTTGTTTTGTAATAACGAAGAAAGAGAAATAGAAAGATCGTCTGCGAATGAATTTACAGCGAATGAAAGCATTACAGGTAATATCACAATAATATCGTAATATCATGACAATACATATATACATACTAGATAAATTTGGCGAGTGTGAATGTAATTATATAAAGAAGTTTATGTATAAACAATTTTGCAGCATCATTCCAAACTTCCAAACTGTCGCAATTTCTAATGGATATAGGTGCGGAGGATGCACATGATGAGCTGTTTAAGGAAGCCGCTAAGGCCACACGATACTTAAATGAAAAAACTGTGCCAGCTAGATTCAAGCGATCGTCCTGGCAGCACGTTGCTCCTCGCCTTTTGTTTTGCTGGCTTGTTCTGCGGCCATGAGCTCGGCCACAGTTTCTGCTCTGGTGATCAGGTCGCTGACTTCTTTAATTTCAGCTCGGTTGATGTAGAGCTGAAACGACGGCTTCATATTGAAGTAGATCACGTCTAGGAGCTCTGCCTCGATGTGTTCTCCTCTGCGGCGCATTAACGTGGTTATTTCGTTAATGAAGAGCCTCAGTGGCTCGTCCGGACCTTGTTTGCGACCGGCGATTTGCTGGTCCAATAGCCTCTTTTCCCCGGCTGGTACGAAGAATTTTCGTAGCTGTTCCTGGAGGTTCGGCCACGAGCATACTTTGTTCGCTGCGTTTCTGTACCATTTTTGGGCTTCGCCTCGTAATAATTGAGTGAAGCCCGAACGCATTTGGTGGTCGGTTAGGCCGTACGCATCTTGTAGTTCTTCTAGCTGCTCCAGGAACGCATGCGGGTCTCGTCCGTCAAAATGGCAGTTCCATTTTCTCATGATCTCCATCGTCTTTACCCGGTCTTCGTGGTGTCGGACGGCTGGCTCTGGTGGAGCGGATGGACCTGCTGGAGACGCCGTTGTCACGGCGTTCGTCTCTTCCCCGCGGTTTGGTGTTGATGTGGCCGTGGCCGCACGGTTCCCCAGGTGTGTCCGGAGCCATTCCCGCGCCATCTCCGCGTGGAACTCTTCGCAATCTCGGGTACGGTCGACTTCCTCCTTGTATCCCGGCTTGTCTTGTGGTTTGTCTGGAAACTCGTCCTGGTGTTCTCGGACGTAGTCTACTAGACTGGTCCGGAGCTGGACCCACGTTCCCAGCGTTGGCTGGTGTCGTCTACGTAGCTCGTTGACTACCTGGTTCTTCTTCAGGCGATATACCCAAGCGATGCCGGCCATCCTGGTTTTGTAGGTTTGCTTCCTCGGAATCGACAAGGCAACTGCGAACAGTCAATCCAGCGCCGATGGAGCCACGTTCCGTGGGCACCACTGGTACCGGGATCCTCGTCCAATAGAGAGGTTTCATAGGTACCTCGGGACATAGAGGTTCTTTTCTCATACACGCTCTGCTTGCAGGGTTCCAACCTCCGGAGGTATAGGTAAAGGACAAGGTGCTGTCGGTACGGTTCCTGCCGGAAGCGGAGGCGGAGGAGGTGCTCCAGGTATTCCAATGAGCGGAGGTGGCGGTGGTGCAGCAGGTATGCTTCCAGGTGGCGGAGGCGGCAGTGCAGGTACTCCGCCGAAAGGTGTCGGAGGTGGTGGCGGAGAAGGCGGAGCGGATGATCCTGCGGATATCGTTCCTATCGACGGTGGCGGAGGTGGAATCGGTGGACCGCTGTGCAGTCCAAAGGAAGACTGCGATCCCTCCTCCTCCGGGGAGACCAGGCGTATTCGGCTGGTCACGCAAAATATGTGGATGGCCAGGAAAATTACCTCTGTGCAGACGCAGCGGATGACCCTTCCCTTGTCGTCCAAGTTTAGTGTCCATCTGCGCCCATTGCGGGTAAAACGATGTCGTTTTATGCGGGTGTAGATCTGGACTACTGTTCCATCCGCCAAGGTGTACGGGATGGTGTCCGCCTGGTCCGTTCTGTCCGCGTGATCCACCGTGCAGGCGGCGGCCAGTGTCCTGGTCGGCTGTGGCTGCGGTGATGGTGATTTGCAGTGACTGGCCCAGGCCGCGTCTGCCACTGCCTCCGCCGATATTGGGGCCGGTTTGCGTGTCGCTGGTGCTGGGTTCCCCAAATCCGGTGCTGCGGTCAAAGCTGCTGCTTCCGCCAACCTTTTGGCCGGTGATTTCGGCGGACGGTCGCCGGGTGCCAACGGTGCTGGCGTCCGCTTTGCCGGTGTCAGCTCCGCACTGGGTGGCCGCCTTGCCGGCGTCTGGACGCGGCGTGGCCGGGTCGCTTTGCGGGCCGGCGCCTCGGTGACCTGGGCCTTGGTTCGCGGTCGGCCGCCACACCTGCTTCCTTGGGGCACGCTCATTCTTATAAATTTCTTCCACTCTTGTGGCGTATTACGGTTAGTTATACATGGTCTTAACACCAAATATTTATGTAACAACGGTATATTAGAAATAATATCAAATAAAATGTTAAATATAAAATTTACTATATAATAATTTAAATAATTAATCTTTTACAAATTTAATATTTAGAATGCAAAATTGTTTGAGTAGTTCTAAATTTCCTTGCAATTTAAAATCTTATATATTTGGTCTTAAAAAATAATAGAAAAGACTATAGTATTTTTATTATTACGCACATACAAGAATATATTGTTACGCCCGGGCGTAATGTAAACACTATCGCGAGCTTCTCCTCTCAGTTTGGAGACTTTCTAACGGAAGTAGAATACAATGCGGAAAGTCTCCCAACGACGTCAACGCGCGGGTTTTTGCGCCTCGTAATCTCCAACCTGAGAGGAGAAGCTCGCGATAGTGTTCACGGGTTGAGGTTTGAAACCGTCCCGGAATTGATAAAACATTTAAAGCGTCGATTTACGCCGGATAGGACGTTTAACGATTATTATCTCAAAATCGCTAATATTCGTGTGCACCGTGACGAGTCAGTTTATGCATTTCATGACCGTATCCGAGCCTCGTTAGTTGAAATGGAGGACTTCCTTAAAATCGAGCACGGGGAACAAGCGCCCGCTATCCTGAAACCGATAACGGTTTCATCGTATTTTCACACGGATAAATGGATTCCGTCAGACACCGCTCTGACAAGGATCCCTGTTCTCTTTTTATACCCTTGTGTTCCTTGAAATATTTCAACCCCTTTCGAAAAATTACTGCAGTTCTCATAAAATTATAATTAAATATACGAATTTCTAATAATTAAATTTTTTACAAATTTAAATTATCCGATGATTATTTAAAAGAAATATTTAACAAGCGCATAGAATATCCATCGTTAATTTAAAAGCAGCATAAAATCTGGTTACACTTAGCCAGAAGCATCAAAGACATTTCCTGTTAATAATTTTCAATCAGTACCGTAACTAAACGGCAAAATCGTTCGAGAAAGTCTAAAATCTATTACACGATAATTGATGCTCTAACGATATAGATTAAGGAACGTCTATAGTCTGCGTGTATACTTTTCTTGTGGCATTAAATAAATTACGTGAACGGGTACTACAACGTCTCAGAAAAATCGATAATCGTGAACGCTTATTACGTTCTCGGGTAATTGCAAAGATGCGTAAAACAATTTTCTTCTTTGTAATATTAAAAATTGTGCGAAGTTAATGGCAGCTAATTTTATCAATAAACCCGAGGCATCTTTGTTTCTAAATGTCAAAAAGCAAAATACTTTGCTAACCATACAACTGCTGCTAAAAATGATAGAATCTTCTTTAAAAAACCTACTATTTATCCTTATTTTTAACCCGTATAAGAAATAAGGTTCGCATAACCACGAAGATGATCCATCATCTCGATGATTATTCGGTCGCAGAGTTTTCCAATCTGCACGTCAGTCGTTCGTTCGGTTCACGGTTGCATCGATTAACAAGCTTCTTATCTCGTTCAAGGATTTTTATGGGGTACGTTACAGGGGTCGGTGTGTCCACGGGGAAGGGAACATGGTCGGCAGAGTGGCTTTAAAGACACGATCCATCGAGTAATCGTGTTTCGTGGCCAGGCCTTCGATAAAAACGCCACGATACGAATCAATGCCGATCAGCTGCAGGCTACGAATCAACCGTCCACATTATATCATGTAATTTTTATCGGATCTCAAGTACGATCTCTCGGTACACCGTCGAGAAATTATGCATAAGACTGATCATCATTTGCTCGATAGTTTATCGCGGTCCCCTCCTTATCCCACCTTCCCTCCGCGCTACTCGGTGCCAGGCAAAATTGCTAATTTCTCTCCTCTCCCCTATTAAACTGGGCTTAAAGGGCTATTCTAGCGTAATTGCTTCAAAATATTGTCTTTTTTGCATTTTTAAAAAATAATTTTTGCTCTTTACGATGAAATTCAAAAAAATTCTTAAAATAAAAGAACTGATAAACCATGGAAAAATTTTTTAATTTAAATATAATCAATCGTTAAACTTGCGAACAAAGTAGCAGCGTTTGTTTGTCGAAAAAGAAATTGTATTTCAATGTAGGAAACCAGTGAAGATATACGCCGTGATACTTTTCGACCGCGTAATCCCTCGTTTCGGATGTTAAAGCGGTGTTTCGCGTGTGTTATTAGGGGCGATTATCACCGAGACAGGGCAACGGTGAACTCCGGCCGCGTCTTGGAATCGTTAGCCACGTAATACGAGGGCTCACTTGTTATTAATAACAATTCGACCCTGGACCAGACCTACTTTTCCACACTGCTGCTCGTAAAATTATGCTTTCCTTCCTTTTTCTTTTTCGTTCGGGAGGATGAAGCGCAGTTCATATCCGCGAAACCCTGGCTGATTTTCAGGGTGAATTTAGAATGGAATTAATTTAACAAAATGGCTAATTTTTTAACCCGATATTCTCCTAAGCGAAGAAATTGCAAATATTATTTCATTTCTCATCGTTTCCCAATTCTACCTTGTTTCTTGGCAAACGATAAGAAACGTAGCGATATCTCTCCGTACGTTTTAATTCAACAAATTTCCGACGGCATTAAGGGAAACCCCGTGGACATGGTGGTAAAAAGTTGCAACGATTACACCGTACCGAAACGCAGCCTGGTGGCAAGAACGCGGCATCAGAAGGAAAGCCATGGTTTTTCTTAAATATCCCCGTATTCGGCTGTCTTCCAAACGGATAAAAAGCTGCAGCTTTGGCTACGCGGGTCTGTTCGACGTCTCGTTGGTACGGTACTTGAGCTACATCGAGTGTACCGTGTGTCGATCGACACACGTGTCGAAGACGAGACGTCGAACGAAGCGAAGCCCCACTGGAGCCAATGAATAATACACAGCCTCGGCACAATTAGCCTTGCCGTTTTCAATTTAATTGGCGAATTATCAACCCTTCAGGGAACGACGACTCGTTCCCGCAAGAAAGGACTCCCTCGTTCCCTGTTCACCGCTACGAACCGCGGGGAGGACTACGACTCGCAGCAGGTAGCGAGACGCGCAAAGAAACAACGCGAACAGCACTCTTTCGCTGTCTCCGCCAGTTTATCAAGCCGATTTCATCGATATTATGATAATATAGCTAAGATTATCAAAGGAAATCGATGAATCGAACATTTCATAGCTACGCGTTCTATTTTTCAATGAAAATTGTTATTTTCTATTCTTTAATATTTCAACATGAATTTCTTTCTGAACGTACGAGAAGATGATCCGAATGCAATATTTGATCTCTAACAGCTGCACAAATGATTAATAAACGGTGCATGAACTCTTGAAGCGATTAGTATTCATTGAACGCGATATTTACCGTACTACCGTCGTCAATCAACCTAAGCACAATGAGTATTCTGATTACTTAATGGCTTCATACACGAACACTACTGACCTACTCGTTGCAAAATCTTCGACCGTTCGAATAAGTAAAAACAAAAGACGTTTGTTGAATAAAGAAATGTCATTTTTGAACATGGAATCAAGTGGACACGATGAGAACCCTCGTTCTATGCAGTCACATACATTCTTTCAATTGGCGCCGCTTGTTTGAAATTGTTTACGATTAAGTCGCGTTCACACAAAAACTTACGCGACTGTTTAAAAAAAATTCCTTTCTTTTTGCTCTACTAGTCTAATTATGCATAGGATGATAATCAACTGTGCATTCCTGACCTTTCATTTGATGGTATTAACCCTCGTTAATTATACCAGATCTACGATTACCATCGAATCGCACTTTTTTTCATTTAAACACGGTAAATCTATCGTTTCAGATAATCTAGATTCAATTTCAAGCATATGTACATTCTTAAATGGAATAATTCCTAGCGTCCTTGGTCTCTGGAACTGAAACTCGACGAATTTGGATAGGTGGAAGACGGGACGAGAGCGAAGTGTTAAATGCTTTCTCGGGACAGTTTAATCAGAAGTTCAGCCTAATCAGAGGTTCGCGCTCCGGCCGAAAGCCGCGTTTGCACGGACGCTCGTCTACAGTTGTACGCGAACGTTAATCGTGACGGTATGCGACGTCGTCGACGACGACGACGACGAACAGAGCCGCCCACACGGTCACTTGACCTCCCTACGCCCCCGTATCTCTTAGTTAACCTTATCAACTCGATTCAACTCGACCTAACCGGTGTCGGGCCGATGCGGCTCCAAAGCAGACGAGCTGCTTACCTACATTCGCGTTTCTCTCCTATCACCAGCCGTAATATTACCTGTAATCCTGAACAAATACTCGTCGATCGTGTTACGTTATTGCAAAGCGAAAGACAAAATTTCTCGCAATAATTTAATGTAGAATTCACGGAGCAAGCGAGCGGTAAGGCTAATATTTCAGAATGAAATCGCATTTTAACAAAGAAATCCGAGTCCCCTTGTTTCTACCAACCGTGAAATATCGCGACAACTTCGACATCGAGCTTGGTCGAGTTTGTACGCGTTCGAAGTAACGGCGCAAGGTTCCCGTCTGTCTCGTTATTATTTAATTTAATTTTTATTTAATTTAATATATATATACACGGGCATTGGCCCTTTTTTACGGGTAGATACATTTAGTATTGAATTGTTCAACCATTTACATTTAGTGCGGACACGCTGTTGCTGATCTTTGCGAAGCTGGTACAGTGTACAGAAAGAGATAGGTAAAGACAGACAAGAAGAGAAGAAAAACATATGTATAATATTGTAGTGGTTAATACTAGTGAAATCGTAGTGCCATATAACGTATGCGCTGAAGTTGAGGTGTTAGAAAGAGACTGATGCTTGCTTAAAGTGGGTTCGAAGCTTGTTTCTGGTTATTTCGGTTGAGTCTAGGAAAATGTCTACTATTGAAATATAACGGTTTACTGTAGCGCAAGCCCTGGCGATGGTGTCATGGTGCCCAAACCTCGATGTGTACAGTG